GCTCACTTCGTCCTCGTTCTCACTTTGACGGTTTCGCGCCACCTCAGGGCGAAGGGTGGCATTCGTATAAAAATGGCGCCAACACTATGAGTTTCTGTCTACCGAAATTCCCACGAATTTCTATGGGAAAACAGTCCTGAACACTGGCAAAATATTCCCAGATCTCTCCACTGCTGAATAACACTATCAGATCAGATTGAGTCTGATTGATAACTGAAGATAGGGATACACAAGACATTCTGTTGCTACCCTGCTTATGTGTTTACCCACTTTTCACTGTCCATTTACTAAAATACACTTCCTTGCTATCACACGCACAGACGACCTGTTCCCGGATTCTGCTACGTTCCCTGCGGACACATAATAATATCTACGCAACACCCACGTCGGTGTTGCATAGATGTGAAGATGTACTAAAAACTACCGCTATCAACGCCTTTCCTTAGCTGGCCAACTAACTAAAGATTACGTCTACCACAGGCGATGGCTAGATGCAGAATGGCATCATGCGGCCAGGGCGGCAAAGTCCCGGCTTCCTGGTCCTCCTCAAACTAGGCAATCAGAGAGAAGCATACATCGGCCTGCACCTCTAGGCCAATCACAGTATCCCTGTATGGCGCCCAAATGTGGCGTCCCTCCAGGCTCTCTGGGACGCTATGGGAACGGTGCGGGGTGGTGGTTCCGCCTTCCCTACCACTCCGCTCTGCCTCCCTCAATCTTTACAGTTAAAACTGCTACTCGCTCTAACTCTTTCCACAAATGCGCTACAACGGTCATTGTAACATATTTGGAATGCTGATGACCTAGGCTCTCCAAGGAGCCTAAACACGGGATGGTTCAAGTACGAGTTACCAAATCCAGTCCGAGTGCACGGCCATTCCCGTGCCCTATACACGGCGAGCGTCACGTGCACGTACACTAGTAGAAGGTTTAGATGGTGTCAACTCTTCCCCACACAAATATTATTGTCAATAAGATATGACACAGATTAATAAGGATTGTGGATGGACCCTTGCCCAGTGTTGGGTGGTGGTACACCTCATAACCGGGTTGAAACTAATACTTAAGGATCCAATAATATAGTATTTAATTCACACCAGAAACAAGGTACTTCCCGTTATTAAGGATCGCTGTCGCAGAATCACTGTTGGGTGATTGAAATATCAAATTTTTGTAGTGTCGCGAGTTGCGGAACCTCTCGGGAAGACTTGGTAATGCACAATCTGAGTGTTGGCGTGTGCCTGGTCAAGCGCACAATGGCGTCATGTGGCGTCTCCTTCCTCGACTCTTCTGGGGAAGCAACCATCAGTATGGTTCTGAACTCGTCATTATCGACTTAGGGAAGTATGCCTTGGATTTGGTTGGCATTTAATTAAATCCAGTTCTGAATAGTACTTTTTGTATCATATTTATCCCTTATACTGGAAGGTTTATGTTTTCATAAAATAAATATTGTACGTAAATAGCGCATTTACGTACAATAAATGTACGTAAATGTACATATAAATGTACATATATGTACATGTACATATATTTACGTACAATAAATGTTACGACTGGGTAACATCCTATTTTTTCTGGGAAGCCGCTCAACTGAAGTTTCTTTAATGATTCTCTTACGATGACTAATAGGTTAGTAATATTAGTATGTTCCTATCATAGCCGCTTAGCTTGGTATATTAGGTGCTAATAATTTTGTGTTGGAATTTCTGAAATTTCAAAGGGAGGGAAAATTTTCTCTAGGAGACCACTAGGTAGCCAAGCATAGTCAATACTCCTCCTAAAGTTGTACTCGGAAAGAAAAAAAAACGCAAAATGCTTTCCAGTGACCTCTGGTAGAGCTGGAGTTAACCGCTCACAGTGCCCCAAGGACAGCACCAGGAGCCCACCAACACCCAGCATCTCTAGGTCAACCTGGCGCCGGACACACAGGCTGCTTGAAGAACCACCGAGAAAAACGTTAAAAAAATCTATCAACCTCCCTATGGCCCCAGACAATAAATGCAGCCACCAGGCACAGTAACAATTGAATACCGTTGAATAGGAATTCCTGAGGGCAATATCAAGACCCAAAGGGTAGAATCTCGTAACTGTGGGTACCGACCTGTGAGATTTATATTTATTTAATTTATATGAATTTATATTTACGTTAATTCATATACTTCGATAGCAATTTGTATAATGATAAGTGGACTGTATTTCTGCAATAATCTCATAATCTCACAAATCGATCCTCTACACATTAGGGGGGTTTATTAGTTTATATATATGCAGCCAATCAAACTACAGTATTAACTACATACATTGAAGAGGTTCCTTATCTTATAGTACAGCAGGTTAGTCCACCAGGTATAACTAGGGTGTAGACACCAAATTATCCTCTTTGAGGTAGCTTCCATCACCCAGTAACTGGTGCACAAAATGTTGCTTCCTCGTCTTGACCTGTCAAAAGTGCGCTAGCTGTGAAGCCAGAATCCTATATATGACAAGCTATATCAGAGAAAACACTATACATGGAACAATAAAGACCTGGCTTAATTACCTTTAGTTTGAGGCTATGTCGTGCTCTAACCGGAACACCCTATATAATGACATTAATGGCCATAAATGAAAGATACATGGGTTTCGGAAAGAACACTTAACTTGAATTGTTGACAGCGTGTTGAAAATGGTACACCTTTGGTTTCCATAACACTACGTCCAAGTAAAATTAACAGGAGCCGAATTTGCTCCCGTGTGAGCCTCTGGTCTAGTATAAACAATGGCTGCCCTCCCTCCTCACTGTCGCCTGGCCTACATTGTCCAAATGTCAGAAAGTGATAGAAGGGTCACATTTACTCTACTTCAATATTGATAATTAAGTTAATTTATATAAGATGTTTTATGATGGTAAGGTCCAAAGACTAATGTATTTAAGAATAATTCCCAGCAAAATAGCTGGTGAATTATAATAGTATGTGGTGATGATATCCCATTTTCTATAGACGGTAATTCCACTACAAGTTACGTTTTCTATGGTTAACTTGTTTATACAACACAGCTATTATCTGTCTGTATGATATATTAAATTGTGTCGGATTTTCCGACATAATTCCCCAGGGGGCTGCTCACGGGTCGAAGTCCTATTTAGAACAGACGAACACCGATACTCCTCCTTCGGATTATAGATTAATTTGATGTTAGTAGTTAGTAATCACACATTTGTGTGTCTGTTCGTACAGGACGGATGTCCCGTACTAGAGTTGTAGGGTTTAGAATTCTAATGCGATTTCATTTCCCTGTCAACTCTTGAAGGCTAATATTCAAAGCCTAATTACATTGGGGTTTGAATCTGCAACAGTGGTATTTTCAACCGATGATAATTAATTACAGGCTCATATAACAAACTGTTCATATTGGTCGAGATCTCTTGTCAGTTACGTTTGCTTGATATTAAAGCACGCTTTGCTTTCTGTGGGATTAGTCATGGTGACTTGTACTTGGGCTGCTCATAAATTGTGAGCAAGTACTAATGGTAGCCTAGGGTTAAATT